GCGTAGCTTCCACAATAAAACGGAAAGCCTCTCAAAAACAGGGACAGAAGTTTGTCATCAATAGATAAATTATCTCCTTCAAACAGTGGACTCCAGCTTCACTGCCCAGACTAGCAGAGGCCTTAACCCCTGTTGCAGGCCGGTTCCTGGGAAGTAGGCTCTGAGACAGAAATGTCTGCAGGAAGTTTATTGGGGGAGTGTTCTTGGGGTCAACACTGTGAAGGAAGGAAAAGAAGCAGGTTGAGGCAGGAGTGGGCTGCGACGTAGTGACAAGGCCACAGAGGACCCTGTGGGGACGGCTGAAGCTGGGATGGCCATTCAGGGTTGTCTCCAGGGCTTCACACCCCTGCCCTGCCCAGTCAGTCGGTGGATGTGGCTGGCCTGGAAAGGAGGCACTGCCAGCCTGCACACTCCCAGCCACTGGGGAAAGGGGGCCTGAAGTGGGGGCTATGGGTGGTGCTACATCCACACCTTCAATTCCAGTGGGTGGCTTTGGAGAAGATAGCAGCCACTGCTAGTGCTCTGCCCAGTACCCACTTTCCCCTTTCTTCCTTACTTGTTTGAGACAGCAATGTGCCCCATAAAACCCCCCACTTCCCTAGACTCCTTTGCAGTAGAGGTGGGCCAAGGGACCCCATTCTGGCCAGTGAGGTTTAAATAGCAGTCTGGGTTCCTGATGACATGGTGGAGCCACCGAAGAAAATGAAAGGCTTTATTTGCTTAACTACTGTAATCAGGTTTCTGTTGCATGTCACCGAACAGTGCCAAATGGTTCAGAGAAGCATTATTGTATCCTGCTTAAGAACATGGTCCTTCGAGTTAATGGACAACAGCTTTGAGTCCCAGCTCTGCTGCATGCTATAATAGCTAGCTATGTGTAAACTCAGAGAGTCACTCCATTATGCTGCCCCATTTCTATAAAGTGGGAATCACAGTAGCATCTAATGCACGTCTCAACATACAACACTAGGGTCACCAGCTTGTCCCAGTTTTCTTGGGACAGTTTGCCCAGTTTTAGCACTGAAAGTCCCTCATCCTGGGAAACCCCTCAGTCCCAGGCAAACCGAACAGACGGCTGTTCATCCTATTAAAACACATCACAAAACTACGCTACTTCCTTTCGATCAGGGGTCGGCAAACCACGGCTCACAAGCCACATGTGGCTGTTTGGGTACGTTCCGTCTTAAAAGTTTGCCGACCCCTGGAAGAGCCAATCCTGTCCCTCACAACAATTTCGAGAGCCATAAATATATTTTTACATAATCACCATTATGTGAATAATATCTTTTAAAAATTTTATAAATGAAACTATGATAGTTTTATTTTCATTCCCAATTTTACTTCAGAGCCACACGCTTGCGAACCGAAGTTTGCTGACCCCTGGCGGCTCTTCTGTCTCAAAAGTTTGCCGACCCCTGCTTTAGATGGAAGGCTGGGTCTTGAATCCTAAAAATTATATTTGATGCTACCCCCTAGTGGCTGGGTATAATATAACATCACTGCAAAGATTAGTTTTACGTTACATACGGAGTCCTTAACAAAAACAGCAACTACAGATGGTAAGAAGCAGAGTTAGACGATTGTCCAACCATTTAGATTTAAGTTTATAACTGTTGTACTCCCACTGTGTTTTAGTGTTCATTGATATTCACCAGCAAATATGGTATCGTGTAGGGCTATTAGGATTAAGTTAGTGTAGGTAAAGCCTTTTCCATGGTGTTTTCTGGTGTCATGTGAACTTGGGTTATACTCTGGGTTTTGACTCTTTCTTTGGAAAAGTGACTTCACTCCCGAGCCTGTTTCCTCATTTGTATTAGGAATAATAGGATCTTCCTCAGAAAGCTGTTTAGATTGATAAATGCTTATGGAGCCCATGGAGGGAAGCATGACGCCCCAAATGGTGCCTTTACTACTGACAGAGTTATCCAGAAGCCAGGCCTCAGGCCCTCCCTCTGCTGAGGGGCCTGCAGCTCAGGGAGGAGTCATGCTGGCCCCTCAGGGGTCAAGGTCAGGCTCACCTGGCAGGTGGGCTTCTGAGGCCAGGAAGGCCTGACTAGTCACTCTGATGAGTTTAGCTGGTTCCCTTTAAGCAGAAGCTATTATTACTCATCCGAGCTGGCCACTGGATAGGCACTATGCAGGAGTATAACCCCAACACTCAGGTCAATGGCCTTGAGCAATGAGAGCCGACTGATGCCCAGGCCAGAACTCTGTGCCAGCCACCATCAAAGCCACAACTGTAATGTAAACCCAAGCTGGTTTCTGCTTTCTATTGTGGTTGTGTTTAAACACACCCGGGTACACCCACCATAGCCTGGGAGGCTAAATCTGTTCTGAAGGCTGCCTGAAGATTCAGAGAAACGGATTTCTACATCCCTGCCTCTCCTGCATCAGTCTTTATGAGCTCTAGAAAAAGGAATCACTCAAATCTTTTCAAAAGTCCAATTCTGCTATAGCTGTGAAGACCCTCAAAACAACTTAAAAGCAGTATTAGGTTAGGCTTTTCAGTTCTGTTTACAAGTGAAATTGGAGTAAGAATACACCACTCGTGCTAATTAATACCTGTAGCTACACTGAAGAAGGGTTAACTGCTCAGTTAGGCTAGAAAGTCAACACATATATTTGCTGGCTTTTGCTTTGTTCTGTGTAACTCAAAAGCCTTGTAGTCCTGTTTTAGTGTCTTGGTTTTCAGTTTTAATTTCATTCATTTTTAATGAGATTTAAAAATATGTTTCATCTATATCATGAAATATTATGCAGTGGCTATAAAAAGAACTCTATCTGTCTGTCTATCTACCTATTTCAATATGGAAATATCTCCCAGAGATATTAAAGGAAGCAAATCAATGAGAAACATGTCTAAGGCATATTATTAAAGGAAACAATTGAATAAAAAATATTTTTGGGCCGGCTGAGTGGCGCGTTGGTTGAGTTGGCTTGGGATACCAGCTCTGAGCAGCAGGGCCCCAGTTCGGATCCCACATACATGAGGGCCAGTGACGCTGCGCCCTCTACAGCTAAGATGATGAACAACAGCTCAACCTGGAGCTGGGCTGCTGTGAGTCACTGGCGTCGGCGTAGGCTGTAGCCTCTCCTGCACTGGCATGCCATGAGCTACCGTGAGCAGCTGGCAGCTGGCATGAGCTGCTGTGAGCTGCAGTGAGCAGCTGTCCAATGGCTGGTGAGCAACTGCCTCACCCAGGAAGAGTGCAATGATAATACCAACATGGGCCAGTGAAGCGACATCCTCCACAACTAGACTGAAGAACAAAAGGACAGCAACTTGTCTGTTCCCCTTCCCCGATTCCCCAACGCTGTTCTCCTCCCCAATTACCCAATAAAAAAATCTTAAAAAAACATTTTTTTTAAGGGAAGCAAGCACAGAACAACATATATAAAATGATTTTGTTCCTATTAAAAATTACATATATTTCCTGCATCTGCATGGAAATTTTCTGTAAGATTATCTGTCAAGCAGCTCACACTGTTCTCTCTGGAGATGGGGTTAGGGGAGAATTTCACTTTTGAAGTTGTTTTCAGTACTGTTTGATTGTTTCCCAGTGTGCATGTATTAATTTTAACCAAAAACAAGCTGAATATATACATGTATACACCCACACCTGTCATGAACTAAGCCATTAAGACCATTGCCCAGACACCAAGGACTAAATCCACTCAGCTCAGGGCTCAGTGCTTGTTTATGGAATGAAATGTCTTAGAACTTGATATTGAGAGAGATATTTTAATGCTATGCATACCCGACGTCTTGGGAGGCTGTGTTGAGAAGCTGGAGCTGGTGTATTGAATTCAGAACAGTATATAAATGTCTAATCACTATGTTGTACACCTGACACTAATATTACATGCCAATTATAATTTAAAAATGCAATTTAAAAAATCTGGAAAAGAAAAAAGAATATGCAGATTATGACCTGCTGAATGAGGAGGGACAAGCCACCCACACAGGGAGGCAGAAGGTAGCTCCCTCTGCATCTGAGCGCCCACTTTGGGGAAGTGAAACCCACCTATGGGGTCGTTTTGATTGAAGAGACAGTTTCAATACATCCAAACAAAGGAAGTAGTCACAAGATTTATTACTGAGGCGGGGGAAGGGCAGTCCTCCATCCCAGGTCCTAAGTGCGCTGGAGACAGAATGCCGGGTAGCAAGCACCTAGGGTGGTGGGGGCAGAGGTCACTAACTTATTGCAGGCTTAACTCTAAGCAGTTATTTTAAAAGGTGCCTGGGAAAAGGAAAGCAGGCATGTACAGTGGACATCCTTAACTCAAGTTCTTAATGAAATGTCCAGACTCTGGGTGTGAGCAGGGCTGTCATACTGTCAAATGCCTAGGCAGCAATTCAGAAAAACAAAGCTGTTGTCCTCAAAAGTTGTTTATCTCATCACAGAGGCAAAACCCGTAGCTATACTTTTTTTTTTTAATTTTTATGAGTTTATTTGAGTCAAACTGATGACATGCCAAGAAGAAAGATCTGAAATGCTTCTGTAACTACACTTTTAACGTTGGCTCTTACTCAAAATATTTACCTTTACCAATAGATGTTGCAAATTAATTTTTAAAACAGCTTCTGATTCACTTTTGGTTTTAAATCTTCAAAGTATGTTTAGCAGTTGTAATTCAGATATTGTGAGTGGAAGCAAAAAAAAAAAAATCAAACCTGATTAGGTGTTAAATACTCGAGAGACAACACAAGGTTGTCAGCGATAATAGAAGCAGTTAAGATAAATTTTAACCCAGTCCAAGGCCACCACCATGTCCTCCTGGCGCACCAAGCACTGATATTGCTGTCAGAGAAGGAAGCAGGACTGCGATCCTTGTTGGGCCTTGGGGCCTGGCCCTCCCTTCCCAACATGTAGTATAGAGTTTTCTGATTTAAAACGTTTTTATTTATACAAAGAAAGGATAAATTTAAAAAATACTGGCACTCACTTGAAAAGAACTAGAGTGACTTATAACTACAAATCATTAGTGGGACGTATAAGTATTCTTCAAAAATTTATTAATAGAAACAGACATATTTAAATGCAACATTGGACAAAAACAAAGAGAAAAGATCAGAATACCAATGACACTGGAGAATCTCACTTGCACGTTACATTTCTTCGCACAGAACTAGCACCATTAGTTCAGAAACCACAGATTTAATTATAATTGCTTCTAATATATAAAATACTTTATAAAGATCATTTAACTGTCTAGTAACAAAGTCCTTCCAAAAACTTATTTAAAAATCAATTAGAATTTACCTTTTGAAACAGACAAAAATGGTTTAAAAATTGATCCAATACTACGGCTTGTCAAAGGAAATAAGCCATAGCTAGTTTTTATTGGAAGAAAGTGCCTGAATTCAGCTTCTGGCTCCCTTCTAAACACCAACCAGGTAGAGGAAATTGTATATTACATAGGAGTAAGAGCACATCTAAAACTGGTCTCAGAAAATATTTTCCTAGACTATAAAAATACTAAATGGAATACAAAAATTTCAGCATATACAGCAAATAGACTACAGCAGACAAATATTTAAAACATACTTAAAACTATCTTATACCACAATCATCATGAACATCAAGTATTATTCTAATAATTTTTCTGTGACTCATTCTGATTCCATGTTTATTTCCCGTTGTTTTGTTATAATGTCAGATGGAGGGCAAATTCTGTGTATCTAGCGGAAGTGACTGGAGGCCCCACTGAATAACTCATGGTATTCAACTGGTTCTCAAAGTGCGGAAAGTGCGATGGTATTAGAGCCTGTATTTTAGATCAGGGGTCAGCAAATGCCAGCCCAGGGGCCAAGCCTGACCCACTGCCTTTTTTGTGTGGCCTATGTACACAGCCACACTCATTCGTTTACGTGTTGTCTGTGGTGGCTTTCATGTGACAAGAGCAGAATTGAATAGCTGTGACAAAGACTGTGGCCTTTTGGTCCGCAAAGTCTAAAATATTTACTATCTGGCCCTTGACAGAGAAGGTTTGCCAAGCCCTAGTTTAGATAAATCACTTCAGGAAAATTTTTCACTGAACAAGGATAAGGTAAGATGGCCTCAGATTTAAAAAGTTTCGGCTGAGGTTTGCTGGTCCCATCATACAGTAGTACCATGGCAGATCAAAAGTATACACATTTGATTGGCAATTTTGGGTCTCAGAATCTTGTTCTGGCATTGTAAGCAAGGTCTGGCTATGGTTAAGTACCTTCCTTTCTCTGCGAAGCAGCCATTGTGTATCAAGTAGCTCATGTACCTGAGTACAGTAATGTACTCACTGTTCAACCCAAATCATCGGTGTGGCTCCAAAGCACAATTTCTAACCTTTAAAAATCAACAATCTTGTACCCTTGGCAAAGGCTAGAACTAGAAGTGGACCTTTCCCATCCCTCTGTTATCGGCATAGATTCTGTAAGTGCTGTGTACATTTCAGAATCCTTCCCTATGACATGCGTCGAAATAATTAGTACTACTACCACCCAGGGCCACAAACATGCCCCTTTTGATGAAGCGGACTAAGTTTTCAAGGGGGCACATGGGCTTGGGAGAACGCTTATGGTGGTCCTGGCAAAAAGAGGTGTGGAATGTGACATCAACACCGTTGTAAAGGATCCGGACCGAATGCTCACTGGGCTTTTCTCTGTCTTGCCAGAGCTCAAAGATCAATCTGGCTGCAAACCTTGGGAACCTGGCTTCGGTCAGGCCCAAGGCACTGAGAACAGGTGACAGGGTGACATCATGAGCAGAATAGAGGGCAAAGATCTCCTCTTTCCTGCCCTCGGCGGCACGCTGCATCCGGCTGATAGTCTGATTCAGGATGGGGTGGGCTCCCAGGAGCGCGTACCCCAGATACAGTTTCTTTTCCCGCCTCTCTCTCTCATCCTCAATCTGGTGTGTCTTGATCACCTTGAAGTGCTCCATGTCAATACAGCCATTTCTGGTGCAAGGGAAGCTGACATTGTGGCAGAAGTGGCAGAGCATAGAGTCGATGGGGTTGGCGGCTCGGAGCTGCTTGGTGGGGACGTCCACGATCTTGGCCATCTCCTCGTAGGCCCTCTCCAGCTGGCTGTTTTTCAAACGTAACAGGTACTGCCGACGCTGCTCCTTTTCCAGGTACTGGTTTCTCACTGGGCAATAGCAGTTTCCAGAGCAGAACAGAGCACTGGGCTGGTGCCTGAAGTAGATCTTCTTCCAGTCAAAATCTGGGAGAAAACCATAAAGCAGGGCCAGCCCACTTTGTAGCGTCCGGCTTTTCCCAGTGGTCTCTAAGTACAGCTGGTCGGTGGACCAGTCACTTGGCAGGAGTTTGTGTTTCTTTAGATAGATGTCTCTCAGCAGCTGGCCATTCTGCAAATGCTGCACGACTCCTGAAACAGGGAGTGACACAAACTTTCCTGACCACCAGCTCAGCCAAAGGAAAAGCAAAGGGAAGCTGCGTCAGTGCCCAAATCGGGCATGCCTTAGATCAGTGTAAGATCATGTAACTGAGCCTGTTCCCCTACAAGAATGGTTCATGGCAACCTATGAAGGGAGCCCCTTGGGGTTAGCCATGAAGGAATGAACAGAGTGGGCCCTGTCCTCTGGACCCACAGCCTTTCTGGGGAGCACAAGGACCATCTGCTTCAATCCCTTCCTCTTGACCAGCCCCTTCCCTGGGGGAGGCCTTGTGACTAGCAGGCTTCAGCGGGTAGGACTCGCCCCACTGGTGGACTGCCTAGGTTTTAATTGGCATGGACCTAAGGAGAGCTTTGTCCCTCTGTTCAGGGACACACACAACGTTCCTCAGTGTGCAGGGAGAGCTCAGATAACTCACTCAGGGAAAGACATAAGGCTGCCTGCTGGCTGCTTAGTCATCTCACTGCTGGGAAGTTCCCTCCTTCACCCCATCCTCCCGACTTTCACAACCAAAGGCCCTCTGCTAGCCTTCTAGGTACGTTCTGCCTAATCCTGCCTCATCGACAAGAACACTCTCTCTGTACAAGCATAGAATGATCTCCCAGATACTCAGATAGAATATCTGAAAAAAAAAAGCAAAGTGCAGTTATGTTTATTACTATTCTTTTAAATAAAAAGGAGGGAAATAAGACTGTGTATTTGCAGTTACCTGTGTTTTGCATAAAGAAACTTTGGAAGGATGCACAAAAAACTAATGTCAGAGGTTACCTGGGGCTGATGGGGGCACAGAAATGGGCTGAGTGGAGCGTGAACAGGAGCAAGAACTCCATGTTTGCCTTTTAGACTTTTTTAGTGTTGAACTACCACATGTATAGTGATAAATTGTCTTGAAAACAACAACAACAACATACAAAAGCCTTATTTTCAAGCAGGAGAAGGTAATTAAAGATAAAAATCTCACCCTCCAGCCAACAGGATGTTAAGGGAATGCAATTTCAGTACAAATATGAATTCTCTGAGACGGTAAACCACATGCAGACCCTATGGCCAGTAATATCATTTACTCAGGTGCCCAAATGGTTTGATCAGCTTTACTGTAAAGATGAGACAACTTAAGGCTGAAATGCACGAGTCATAGGGAACTGTTGGCCCAGGCAGGGGAAGAGCTCAGGAAAAAATCCACGAAGAATATCCTACTGTGAAGAGTATTAATTGAGAGCAGAGTTCCCTCAGAGATCTGGGCTGGGACAAGCCTTAGCATTTCCATCATGATTTGCAAAAAGACGCAAACCATGAGTGACAAACATTAAGAATTTGTGTCTGGCCCTACCTTATATTCTTAGGCTACATATATTAAAGTCAGAGTGCCGGCTGTGTGCCAGACCTTTCTCCTTTAATCCTCACAAAAACTCAATAAGGAAGGCATATTATTATTCTCCCCAGTTTTCCTTATTTCACAGGTGAGGAAACTGAGGCCCTGAGCCACTCATAGTGGAGAAGTAGCAGGACTCATGCCCCCGGTCTGGCCCCAACCTTGTGCCCTCAGTCCCTTCTCACAGCACCTTCTCCCTGTATTTTCATGCAGCAACACCAAGTTCTAGCCATTGAGGGCTTCTTGTGCTCTCCACACACAGCCTGCATCTTCCTGATTTAGTTTCTGCCCTTCATCTTTCTCTGCCCAGAGAAACCCTCATCCAGCACCTGGCTCCAATGCTACCTTTTCTATTGAGTCTCCCTTCTTCCTCCCCCAGGTCAAATTAATTCCTTTCTGTTCCCATATGCCGCTGGACCTCTAGGACATTAGCTGCATCCGCTGAGCCCAGCATATGCAGGTATGTGCTAGGCACGTTCCACACGTTATCTAATTTAATTCACCATCAACCCTGTTGGGTTGGGAAGATATCATTAGCCCCGTTTCACAGGTCTGTCTGCTCCAAAGCCGCCTGTGTTTATTCTATAAGAGCCTGAAGCCTGTAGCAGTTCAGTTACTGGTCTCCATGCACGATGTCTCACTGCCCCTGTGGGCTCCTTTAGGACAGGTAGGGGAGCGTCTTACTCATCCAGCCACCCCCTCCCCGATACTCAACAGCTGTCAAAAAGCATCTTGAACAGAGTAGGCACTAATGATCAATCTGCTCTTATGTAGATACTGTGGGGTGCCCAAAGTGTGCCAGTTATAAATGGTTATTATAATAGCTATGCTTTTTTAATGAAATTTAAAATAAAAGATAAAATTGGCTGTTAAAAGAGAATAAGGAATGGGAGCAAACAGTGCTGCAAAAATGATTTCTAGAGTAATACTAATTTGGAAAATGATGATGATAATAAATCAATTGAGAAGAACGGTCAGAATGAATAGTTGTCTTTAAGTTGTGAACCCCCTGCCTTTTCCACGCTAATGCTGTACCCTCTGCTCTTCTCAGGGAACAGTGCCTGGATTCAGAGGCTGGGCCCCAACTCTCAGTGCACAGTCACCCTGACCTCTTAGCCAGCTGATGGACACTAACCTTCAAGGATCCCATCAGATTCTCTCTCTCAAGAATTTGCACTTGCTAGTTCACCTCTGGCTGTGGCTAGACTGTCACTCTGTTGACAGACACATAGCAAAACCATAAAGGCAGAGACAGGTAACTTCTTTTATTCCTGGTTCCAGTCTCTGGAGGCTTGGTCATATTCTTGCCCTTAGAGTCTGTAAGTCACTCTGAATCCTTATAATAAATGCCTCCTTTTTGCTTGGGTTGGTTTCTGTTACTGGCAACCAGAGTCTAAGCAGTGGTTCTCAGCAAGCATGGTTCTGTCCTCAGGGATGGGGAGGAATATTCCTGACACCTAGTGGGTAGAGGTCAGGGGGCTGGACAGTCTTCACAAGAAACTGTTCTTTGTCCCACATAACTTCTGAATATACCACAAGACAGTCCCAAACGTGAAAGACCTGTTTAAATACTTAGGCTAGAACCTACTTCTTTGTATCTATAAACACAAAGTCATTTTTGTAAAACATTAACATTCACTGAGTTTTCTAGAAATGTGGTAGCAATTGAGGGACACCTGTATTTTGTTTTGATCAGAACTTGTCAAAAAAAAATCATGTCCCGACATGTGGTATTAGAGTCACCAATACAACATCCCTCCATCAGTCTGTATTTGTAGCTGTCACAGTCACTAATCTACGTTTAAGTGTAAGCCACTTATTATGTCATTCTATTTTCTAGTGTGGGTGTGCTCAAACATTTATATTGAGGCATTCAGAATTATATAGTACATTAGTTGCCTCTTGTTTCTCCTTTATAGTACAGTTAAGAGTGCCTGATATATATATATATATATATATATATACATACATATATACATATATATATATATATTTTTTTAATTAGGTATGTAGAAAGGTTATATTACATTTAAATTTTACTCCAGGATAGTTAAGGGAGCACCACAAAATCCTTGTTAATAAAAGGGTTGCTGGATCTGGTAGGATGAGTACCCCTGTTTTAAACTAATGCAGAGTGTGTGCATGTGGAACATAAAAGATTTTGACAAAACTACTTATTCAAGGCTAGTCCTCCAGGGCCTTCAGCTCGCCCCACTCTGTCACTCACTATCATTCTCCCCAATAACAATGGCTTTTAAAACATGGCAACACCCAACAGGGCCAACTATAGGACAGAGACCTTCCTTCCATCAGAGCTGAGGTCCTACGATGCTGGTGGAACAAGAAAACAGAGCATGGCCAATAGGTCCTCCTGATTCTTCCAAAAAGGATGGTGACCAAACAAAGGTCCTTTGAGGTCCCAGACTAAAGAAGTAGGAAACTGGAACCTCTTGGGGGGACCACCAGTTCCTTCTCTTCTCACAAATGTGACCCCACAGTTAACACACCAACCTACTCTGAAAGTGGGTTACAAAAGAGTGTGTTTAGTAAGATACCACTGTGTGTGCGTGTGCGTGTATGTGCATGTGTGCACGCACATGCATGGGCACAGGGAGAAAGATAACTAATTTCTTTGGTGGGATTATGGGTGCTTTGCATTTTTCTTCCTTTTGCTTGTCTTTCCTAACTTTTCTTGCATGAACACATATTGCTTTTGTAATAAGAGACAAGTTTTTTAACTTTTAGAAATTAGATGTTTAATTAGACACCTTGGTGAACTCAAGAGCTGTTTGAGGTGCCTGCCAGTCCGTATTTACTCGTGTGAGCTCACAGCTCCTTACCCAGAAGTATTTGCTCCAAATGTGTGCCAAAGGGAAGAGTGGGTGGGAGAGTACGTGAGTGAAAGGCTGTCACACATACCTGTCTGTGTGAGCTCTCCCATCTCACAGAGTGGGTGATTTGGGTAAAGAGGCAGGGTGTGTAAGGGGCTTTCGAAAGAGGCTCCGGATCCTTTTGACATGTGACTGATGAAAGTTTCCAGTTTAGGGTGATATGGTTTCCTAAAGAGACAACACAGAGATTTAGTGGTCAGCGTGCTCTAAAACAGTCCACCATGGTTTCAGCTTCAGCAAGCAAAATCCCAAGTTTGTTGAGCCCTCCCCCCCAAATAATAGGTACTGGTTCAATCACTTTTAAATTCACATTTTGTTATCACTTGACCACTGATGCCTAACATAAAATCCCCACTCCTTAAAGCCAGCCTGAGCCCCCCGCCTCTGCTGAAGTGGCCATCACTCTCGACACTGTGGGGGTCAACTTTGCCCCCCATCACCACTTCCCCAATCTGCACCCCTTCTGTCTCCCTCTCTAGGAGGCCATGGTCCCCCACCAGGCAGACACACATAGGCTGGGGGTTCTCGGCTTCTCCCTCCCCTGCCCCTGCACAGGCCACCTGCCTCCCAGTCCTGCAGATGTGTCTTCCGGGGCCTTCTCATCCTGCTCTCCTGTATCCCTGCAGCCACTAACTGGGAGCTGGCTCAGGCAGCTTCCATCTGGATGGCATGGGCTCCTCGTTGGCCTGCTCGCACCCTCATCCTGCCCCTCTAATCTTGCCTTTCCACAGCCAGAGAGATTGACTTAAAAGGAAACCCAACTCGTTACTGGTCTTCCACATCGCTGCTCCTGGAAGGAGCCACGCATGTCTGTCAATCTGTTCGGGCCCCAACTCATTCTAAGGCCCAGGGCTTCCCAGCCTTCTCCACTCTACTGCTGTGCTCTGGCCACTCGTAGCCCACTAACTGACTTCTGTTCCCCCAACATACCTCATTCTTTACGTTTCCAAGACTTTCCACACGCTGTCTCTTCCTCTTAGAAAACCTACCCCAACCTTCACCTGGGTAACTCTTAATCCTTAATGTACCTGATCTCTGGAAAATCTCCTTTGACAAAAATTAACTGGTTAAGATAACCAAGATCTTATAGCTCTCTACAGTTCACTATACATTTTGCACAGACAGTATGTCATTTCATGTCAGGTGGTCATAAATAGCTAAAAAACAGTTTGTTTATGAGAGCTGACATTTTTTATATTTCTGCCATGAAGCAAATGTGGTAAATCAAGATTTATCTTTCTAGTCACTAATATACAATTTCCCTGAATAATGAAATGACCTACGAATGTGTACACATTTTCTCTGAATAATGAAATGAAACTTAGAAATATATACACCTTTTCCTTGAATAATGAAATGACCTATGAGTGTATAGGCACTTTCCAGCGGAATGGAAGTAGACAGATAGAATAGTTCCCAACTAAACTCAATAAGCATGAAAAGAAACAAAGATAAATTGTTCTAATGGCAGGCCCCTGCTGTCTGAAAGCCCAATTAATGTTGGCAATGCTTTAAAAATGGCTGCCAAATGGGTTGAATATGTTTCAAAAACATAAAGCTAAAAAAATACTCCATCTTTTAAAATGTGTTTTGAAATGAGACATCCAGTGGAGTTTGATAAATCACCTTGGGCTGCCGTAGGGCAGCCTGTCTTTGCATAAAAACAGAGGGTATGCTATTTTTTCCTGAGGCTAAAACACATAAATATTGGCAAACTGGGGAATAAAATTTCCAGACTGATAATGAGGCTGCCAATATGAATCCACATAAACAAAGGCTATCCATCAACAGGAGTCAAATATTCTGCTCCAGGCCGCTATTTCAGGTCTGTGATTTTTGAGGCTCTGGGAGAGTTTTGCTGCCAATTTTAGAAATGAAATTTCACTACTTAGAAGTGTTTGCTGAGATGTCCCAGGTTTTCAGAGCATCTGACTGCTTAATGGTGTGTTCGTTTTTAACTGTACTCATGAAGACTTGTTTTGGGCAGGGCAGGAGGAAGAGCCATGAAGAAAAACTTCACTGCTGGAACAGCACACAAACGGCTGGATCTTTTTCACAGGAAGAGGATCCCGTAACCCGAGTCCCCGGGCCTGTTCTAGATCTGAATGACCAGGTCCTGCTCGTCTCGTCCACAGCCCCATCCCTAAAGCCAAGAGGGTACCTAGCACATGGCAGATACTCCAAAAAGTCGATGGATGCGTTCAACTGGGAAGCCCCCCCCGCCCCGCCGTTAGATGCTTCCTGAAGTCCAAGCCTGCCATAATCTGTAGCAATGAATACGGCAAAGTCCCAGAGTGTTCATTAAAATGTCCAGTTTTTGATGGAAATGTTAAGAATAAAGGCCATTGTGGGTGAGGCTACTACCTGTGACAAAGATTCTCTTTGACTAAACTTTAGGGAGGCTCCTACGCTGAACCCTCTTTCCAACTAGACCTCAATCTTTGGACTTATGTCTGAACTGGCATCACCCAGTTTCAGCAAAAGTCCTGCTAAGTCAGTTTAGCCAAAATCTTCCATTCTTGATATCTGATCAAATTCCTCATACCAGGTGGTATCTGATCACCCTGACCTGCCTTTCACAAGAATCCTGTCAAGTTGGTTTAGCCAGAACACTCCTCACCCCTGATGTCTTTTCCATCTACAGACCCCCACCCTGTTCCTTGGCTATAAATCCTGACTTGTCCATGCTACATTTGGAATTGAGTCCAGTTCTACACTGAGGTCTCTTTTCCCCTGCTGTATTAGTTCTTGAATAAAATCTGTTTTTACTGCTTTACCTACTGTCCGGCTCTGTTTCTTCTTTAATAGTTGCACACTAAAATCTATTCTCTTCTTGGGAAATTGGTTAGATCCTATTTCTGACGTCCTAGTGATTAGGCAGAGCCATGTGACCAGCTGCTCACCAATGGATTGGAAGGATGTATGCCCCTTCCAGGTTTAGGCTTTCGAATCACAGGCCTGCCCCCTTCACTTTCTTCCTTCCTTCTGGACACTATTCAGGCATGACTGCAACCCAGGTTCCATCATGGGGACATCCGCAGGGCATGGTGGGAGCAACACGTGGGAGGAACCTGGAACCCGGAGCCTAGTCTTACAACCTGGAACTCTCATCTCAGATCTTCACACAAGGAAGAGGCTGATTTTTTAATTTAAGGCAATGCATTCTTGGATCTCTTTGTTACAACAGCCTAGCCTTACTCTGACTAACACAGAAATGGTTATGTCCATGACAATGAATTTTTCTTCAGGAAAACCTCATGTCGTAGCCTACTGCCTTAAGCTTGCAAGCTATTCAACTCAGAGTTCTTGTTTACATTTTCACATGCATTGTTCATACCTCTATATGCCACAAAGCTTGAGACAGAACTCCGAGGCTAATCTGCACACCCATGAGAAGATTTATTGTGCTCCAACTATGATCGGAGCAGTTACTGAGTTTCATGGAACATTAAGACAAGCAGAGAAGCGGTATAAGACCACTCACGCTGTTGTCAGTAAACACAATTCAAAGACGCTTACGTGGCTGGAAACTTGGGTGAGTGCATACCACAGATTTTTAGAGTTTGTGCTAATTAAATAATTTATTATTTTATGTTATTCATAAAATGAAATTCTAAAAAGATAAACTCAATATCCTTTTGTCAGTCTTGAGCTTTCTGGACCTTTTGGCTTGACACTCCTCCTTGCTTCCTGCCACTCCTTCCTTCCTTAGGTCTCACATCATTCTCCTGCCTTCTTCCCTGTTTGCAACTTCACCATCTCCTCCTGGGATCCTCCTTTCTTGCTGTGCTATTGCAGGTTGGTGTTACCCAGGACTCTGTTTTCAGCCCCTCCCTCATCACTCCATAGGCTCTGTCTGTGAGTTCACTTAAGCCCACAGCTTCAACTGCCATCCACGTGCTGAACTCTCAAGTCATATCATCCAGCAAGATAGAGCTCCCGGGGCCCACAACTACACGACCTATAGTATTTTCTAGAAATTATCACTTGGGTGTCTCATAATAGCTCAAACTTAGCGATGTGACCTTTCCTCATAACTTTCCTCCCATATCTCCCTTCTTCTGGGCTATTCTGGGGAAGGGCACCACCCAATCAGAAAGCAGGGTACCATCCTCATTCTCTGTCTTACCCCCATCCAACCTGTCGCCAAGTCCTACCTATCCCACCTTGTAACTCTTTCAGATCCACCCCCTCTCTCCATCTCTGCTGCCACTCTCTGAGTTCCAGCCTCCATCATTTACTCATTCAACAAATATTTAGTTGTACTCCTCCCATGTACCAGGCTCTGTCCTAGGCACTTGGGATACAGCAGCATTGAACAAAAACAAAAATCACTGCCCTTGGGGAACTTACATTCTAGCCTGGAGCCTGGGGAAACAGGTAACATACAATGCACACTGTGCATGTGTGTGTGAGAGTGTGTTTATGTGTGTGTGTGTGTGTGTGTGTGTGTGTGTGTGCAAGTGTGTGTGTGTGTTAGAAGGTACAAGATGCTATGAATTGATGCATTTATCAAAAAGAAGAGCAGGGTAAGGAGACTTGGGTGGAAGGAGAAGTATATTTTAATTTGAACTGGAGTGTTCTGAGTCGTCTTATTGAGAAGGTGACATCTGAGCAAAGACTTGAAGGAAGTGAGAGAGCTAGCTATGAAGCTATCTGGGGCATAGCCATCTGGAGATGCGATAGTCAGTATGACAGCCTTGAGGTGGCAGAGTGCCTGCGTGCGGGAAGGAGAGCCAGGAGCAGTGTGGCTGAGGGTGAGAGCAGCAGGTGAGCTCCGACAGGTAAGGGGAGGAGAAGCACAGAGGCCTTGTCGGTCACTTTAAGGAGCTGGGCTCTGAGTCTGTGTGAAGTCTTTCCCCTGGATCACAATCTCCACAATATTATAAACACCACCACCAGCCCCCAACCCTCCTCCACATCGTGGCGGCCCGAGATCTTCATCCTTCCATCCCTTCACTCCCCAGCTCCCTCGCTGCCTTCATGCTGCGAGTCTACACGCCTTAGCTGGACGGTCAAAGCATCAGTGACCTAGTCCTTACCCATCTCTCCACTCCATGCTCAAGGCTGTGGGCTGACCTGTCTACCTCCCCACACCTTTGCACAGGTAGGTCTCACCAGTTCAGGTACTATTTATCATCAGCTGCTACTTGCCTTCTCAGTAGGTCCCTTTCTCTTGGTGGCCTTCCCTGCTACCATCTTACCTCCCTCTCTGCCCCAAGCTGAGTCAGGCTGCCCTCTTCTGGTTCATGCCACCAAATATGGTACCAAAACGACTTCCACTTCTTTTTTATTTTTTTATTTTATTTATTTATTTTTATTTTATTGGGGGAATTGGGGGAAGGGGAACAGACAAGTTGCTTTCGTTTTGTTCTTCAGTCTAGTTGTGGAGGACGTTGCTTCACTGGCCCAAGTTGGCACCATCATTGCGCTCTTCCCAGGCGAGGCAGATCA